CAGGCTGATAGCTTTCTTCCTTAGAAAGAGCTATCACTGTACACAGGGACAATGATTGGATGAATCCGACTTTATTGCTGCAGTAGTTTACCTAAAGAAATAAGCACTGATGGCATGAAAAGGATGTTATTTTCCGGTTCTGTGATATCTCACATTATCTCCACTCGTAGTTAATCTACCAGGAATGAAACTTCCCAAGTATGCTGCTATATATGGATAAGGGAGGGTATCTCTGTCCTGAAGGCATGACAGAGAAGAGAGAGGGGTCTATATGCTGTCATGTTAACACTAAATATCTGAAATTTTTATTGCATACATTTCCTTTTAAATTATGAAGGATTTCATACTGACCCTGAAAGGCATCGATGGGATGCTTTTCTTAGAATTAATGAGTTCTTCATGATGCTCACATACTATCTTTGTAAACATATGGCAGAGCTTTAAATGGTAATGTGATTATGGGCTAGTGGAAGGTGAAACTATGCATTTAGATAGTACCGTTTCAGTGACTTTCTAGGTAGCTTCAGGGGTAAAAGTATTTTATGCAAATCCATTTATGGAAAGAATTGGCATAAATTAAAAAAAAAAAAAATCTGTAGATGTAGGATATTCTGAAAAGGAATGATGAACATTCTGCAAGTTCAGGGTGGAGCTGCATACTTGAGATCATTATTATTGTACATTTATGTAGCTAGGGCATATATCTGAATTGTTTGTTAGTATCAAAAGACCAATTTTTTCACATTTGTATACCGATTAAGTTCTGGTTGATTTCAAGAATTGAATCAGCAGCTTTATTTTTTTATAAAATATAGAAAGAAGGAACATAGTACGAACAGCCTGGACACCCTCATGAAACTGCACATACAGATGGGCCCACAAATAGCAGGGGCCCACAGTTAACAGAGTGAAGACTTAATTTAGCATTTGTGCAAGCGTGGTGGACCAGCCCTATATCTGGGACTGCTTGCTAATTTTGGAAGTACAGAAATTCCATATTTTTCTACATATATTTTTGTGTATTATATATGGTGTCTGTGTGTATATACATACATAAACATGAAGTCTTTATGAAAGCATGCAAGGGGTGTCCAAGCATGACATTTCTGTGTTTCGAGTATTTTTATACATACATAGTGTACATATGCATATGTTTATATATAGCGTATCTGTATGTGCTTGAATATATACATGCAGATGAAATACTTCATGAAGATGAGCAAGCATTATATTGCTGTGTTTCATGTCCCTCTAGATGGTAACTGTTGCAAACTGCCTTTCCTTTGTGATACGGAGCCTATTCTGCAGTATTTATTTAGCCTTGGGTCCTACTACAGAAATAGCTCAGACTGCCTTTCATAATTTTGTAGATGGTTATTTTGTGGTTGGCTAACATAACTTTGTGTGGTAAGGTTCAGATGTGACATCAGAATGCTGGATTTTAACCTAAAGAAAAAGGACTGTATCTGTTTTGTGATCTTTCTATAAACTTCAGGCCTACTGACCTCAGCTGACACTGACTGATTGAAACCATTGGGTTTGCATCCCACTACTTCCTCCGGTCAGACCTATTTAAAATTGAACATTTGTTTTCTTAAACCATTTTCCTTCTTTGTGTTTATTCTGTTCTTACTCTGTTTTCAACCCTGATGTATTTATGTGACTTCTGTAATAGCTGAAAATTGAGAGTGTTTCTCTTGGTGTTTCAGACTTTTGTCTGAAGATATCACTGGCTGAAGTGATTGAACTTGCCCGTGGTTGGACATAAGTGTGTGCAGTGTGTATACACTGATTGTAACGAGAGACTGAGATTGAAGATAGTTTTTCATTTAGGGTAAAAAGTTTTTATTTTAATTCAGATAGAGGAGAAATCTACTACCTACCATATTTCTTGCAGCAATGAGTTGTATGATCTAGACTGTAGTATAACTGTTGTCTCTTATTTCAAGTGAAATGTCATTGTTTGGTAGAATATAACAGCAAGCGAGAGCATAGGTAGAAGGCAGGAAGATGCTGTTTTACACAGGCATTGTATAACAGAGCAGAGGTTTTGGCTGTAGTCTCTGTGATCACAGCAACCTTTGTTGCTAAGCAGGCTGTTGTGTATTGTATCAGGGAAAGGTATTGTTTATTTTTTTAAAAAAATTGTGGCTTCAACCTAGGCTTATTTGCATCTGCTTCCATCCCTGAATATGTTTTTGGCTAATAGTGGAAAAGAAACTCATTTCCAACCTCTTGTCCTTTTCATTTTCCTCCCCAAAGTTACTCCTGCTTTCTCTTTTGAAGCCTTAAGTTCTTGCCTTGATGATCAGAACCTTTCTCTATTCACTCTCTCCTGTTTCATTATGGTGTTTTTACATACACTTGACATGCTGCAGTAGAGATTATCTTGCTTGCTGGCTGCTCTGCTCATGTAAATCCCCACCCATCTGTGAGTCCCTCTCCCAGACTTTTGTCTCTGCCTTCTGCTTACCTCTCCATCTCTGTTCTTTCTTATTTGGCACGTATCCCTGCATTCTGTACTTTTCCTGGTTCTCTTGCAGTAAAGCAGTCTTAATCCTTTCCTCTGTCTGTCCAGTGCTGTAACAACAACCCATTTGCAGTGCATGGTTCAGTAGCCTCCCTTTTAAAGCCCTTTCTAAGATTTCTCTATGGCAAGCCTGTTTTCTTCTGCTGCAAAGGGTGAATATCTATCCATATACTTCTGCTATCAGTCATTCAATCTTAATCTTGAAATGTTTAAATTTATGTATTTTTTAAAAATTAATTTACATTAAAAATGTAACAGATTCTTCGACTGGTGGGTCACATGCTGCAAATTTTTCTTGTGGGCAGCTGCTTTAAAGCAAGTAAAAACAAAGAAAATACCTTCCTATTTTGGTGTTTTCATGTAATAAGTTGCCATAGACATGCTGTCACATATGGGTGGAAGTAACTATACAGTCAGGACCTGGACTATCCTATATCTAGATTTCTTCAGTTGCTTGTTCTTCTACGTAATACTTGTATCCAGGGGGAGTATGAAGGTTTATTAACTTTCAGTGGAGGCGCTCTGAAATTTGAGTTCCAACAGTCAGTGACTGTGCTATGGGGACTGCAGTGCATCTGGGCACATCTCATACGTGTACACTTCAGCTTACCTGTAGAGTTCATTATAATGTGCACTGACTGTCCTTTTTGGTTCCAACACGCAGAATACACTCGAGGTGTCCCAAAAGTATTCAGACTTACTGCACCTGGCATAGTCCTGACAGGAGGAAAAAAGTTTATGAATGAGTATTACTCTTGAGGTATAGTTCTGTCTGTGAAAATATTTGCTATATAAAGTCAAAGTTAACTTTTCAAAAAAATAAGCTTATGTGCATGACAGCAGCAGAATATCTAAATGGTGTGTTTTTTTCTACAGCTCTTGTTGAGCCACAAGCTCTTTAGGACAAGGGCTTAGTCTTCTTCAGTGTAGAAAACACATGCTCCTAATAAAACCATTATGATAATCCTGTGTTACTGTTACCGTGCTAATTAGCAGCTGTTTTTAGTTCTGAACAGAGGAGTGCTGTTGAATTCATTTATCAAGGAAAAAAAAGGACTTTTGTACATTTGCTCAGGCTGTAGTCAACAAACTAGGCAGTGAAGCACGCTACACCTGATACCATGTGGCTCTAGCATGTTAGGCACAGTAAGGCTGAAACTGGCATGCCCAAAAATGATGTAAATAAAGGGGTATATAGTATAACATTGGTTCCTTAATCATGGAATCATAGAATTGTTTAGGTTGTAAAAGATCTTTAAGGTCATCAAGTCCAACTACTAACATAGCTCTACCAAGTCCACTGCTAAACCGTGGCCCTAAGCACCACATCTATACGACTTCTAAACACGTCCAGGGTTGGTCACCTCACCACTTCCACGGGCAGCCTGTTCAAAGTTTTTTTTTTGGAATGCTGCTCTCCCTTGTCCTTATCTATGCAAAGTAATTGTAGACAAAGACATCTTATTCCTGTGCAGTATTTCAGCAGCCCATCATAATTGCTTTATTATTAAGTTTCACTTTTAAAATCTTGTTAGATTCTGATTGACATTAAAGTCTTTCTTTCTGGGGTTTTGCTCAAAATAAAATGATAATGCATAGCTGAAGCTTGTATCTGTCTTGAATATGTAGGGTTCTAATATCACATCAAGTAACTTTTACAAAGATGGAATGTGGTACAGCTCCATAATATCTCAATGCTTTTGGAAGACAGAGAAGAGGTATGCACTGCTGTGGTGGTCAGTTCTGTAGTCAGAGTCTTATAGAAGACCTCGAAGCAGACCATTGCATTGGCTGAGTGTTGTTGCAAAGGAATCTTCAATCAGTTTGCCTTCTTGTTACCATGGTGGACTCGGTTTTGCACTACTTCTATGTTGTTGCAGGTCTGTGGTCTAAGTATAGTAAGTTACTGCTTTACTTCTGTCCCTAAACCCCTTTGTGGAAACAAAACAAAAAATTCTAAACACCCCACCCTCTTCTCTGGTTGGTTGGGGTTTTTTTTGTTTGTTTTGTTTTGTGTTTTGTTTTGCCTGGTGTTTCTGCTTTGAAGGTTAGGGCTTCAGCATAGACATAAATTTCCATAAGCTGAGCAAACTGAAAGTTAAAAGAAAATTGTAGCGATGAGTTTGGCTTTATGCAAAAGTAGGAAGAGAAGAACATTGTGACACTTCAAGTTTTGTAATTAATGTTGCTAGAAGACTCAGGGAGGTTAGTTCAAGATTAGTTTTTATTTCAGTATGTTTTATAGAGAAAGATATGCATCACTAAGTTTTTGAAGATGTATACTGTAAAAATATGTTAGTCTTTGAAGGTGTGGATGGATCTGAGCATAAGCAGTAAAATACAGACCAAGTAAGCCACGTGAGTGCATGCAGTTTGTCAGCTATGTAGGCCATTGGTTCTGGATTTCAGAGACCTGTCTGCAGAAGCAATAGAGAGACTGCTATAAACCTCTCAATCTTATGGTTTCAGATGAAAAGCTGATGGAGCTTCTCTGTACTGTGAACAGTTTGGTGCTGCACTAAGAAGGCTGCAGTCCTTTATAGCTTCCCAAGCCCATTAGTTGTGGTTCAGGGAACTCAGAGCGTCACTGGTGAAGCCTGTGGAGCTTGTAAGCAGTGCAAGCCTGAACTTGACAGTAAACTTAGATGCCTGGTAGCCAGAAGTTGATAGATAGAGCAAAGGGCTGGTATGAATCCAGCACTCATCTTGGTTGGAAATAGATGAAGAGGTGGTAATTCTTGTGCAGGCAATACTCTGAGATGAAGAACGTCCATTTTTCATATTGACTTCAGGCTTGTGACGTGTCTGATAGCTCTGAAACTCCTGTTGGGGTTTTTGAAAGAAAAGTGAACTCTTCTTCCTCACAGCTTTTGGAACAGAGCCTGTGCTAATTTGGTATCTTTTCTTCCACAAAGAAAACCAGTGCTACTGTCTGCAATCTGCATTTGCATTCCCAAGCAGCAGCTGACTAAAACTTGCAAAACCGGTCACTTTGGAAATGGGGTGAAGCTGGGATAGTGCTGGTGATTTCATTCTGCTGCTTGGAAAAAAAGCCAACCTGTGAGCAGCAAGAGAAACCATGAGGCAGCCTGGAGGTGCAGGAAGCAGAGCTACATGGTTTACACTTTCAAATGTGTTTGCAAACATGCTTTTAGGAAGAACTCTTTAGTCCCTGTTGAGTAAATATTTGGGTTTTTTTCCAGGCCCTGATACAAAGCATGCAACTGGAGTTTGAAGAATTCCCCAGTGCATTTTTTGAAACAAGTAATGCTTAGGAAGGGCAGAAAACAGCTAACTCTGAAAACAGGTGACTTGAGTGAAAAAAAAAAAAAAAGAAATTAATTCAAGATGTGAACTGTGGCAATGACTACTTGAGTTAGGAAATTTTTAAAGATGGTTTTCTCCACTATGCTCTTGCTTCCTCATTATCTGTACATTAGTGTTGTCTTCCCCTCATTTGTCCATGTATGTTCTCCTTTGTTCCAGCACTGCCACAGAAGAAACATTTGTACCTTGAATGTCCTGGCTTGTATACTTGTAATCTGTGCAGTTACTCTGCTCTGCAGTGCTGCATGTGCTGAACCTCAGAGACAGCTTGCTGGCTAGATCTGGTTCCTCTGAGATGGGTCATGTAGCAGCTCTTGGGGCCAAATTTATTTTTTTTTTTTCCTCAGTATCTGCTGCTTATATAGAGAATCTGGACAACCTTTAGGAAACTGCTGCTGCAATGCACTTCAAACTTGACCTGAAGAAATTACCTGTAGGCATGATAGGCTCATTAAGTCCCTTTGATGATTTAATTCCCTGTGCTTTTGAGACATCAAACTAGGAAGGGAATTAATGCTGCTAGCCTGTATATCATCGCTGTACTTAAATGTTGCAAATGTCTCTGCTCTGAATTGCAATTGTGTGGTAACGCTTTGTATGAGATTGATCAAATTTGATAGCGTGAGTCCAAATTGCTCTGCAAATAAACACACACAGTCAAACTGCAGTGATGAAACAAAATGGACCAGTTATTCAATGTGAGTCAAAATGTAATCAGAAGAGCAGTGAACTCAGCAGAAACAACCCCTGAGAGCTCTTCTTTTTATTGTGCGAGTTTCAGAGCTGGAAATTTCAAGCTATTATCCAAAGGTGAAGCTGGTGTCCAGCTGGCTACTCCTTGGGACCAAGTTACTGAATTTACAAAAACATGCTTCTGCCATACCAGGCTGATAACAGAAGCACAAAGTACACTAGGGTCTGCATTGCATGTCCTGATTTTCTCATTAGGAGGCACTTCTGTGGTCACACCACGGACTCCATTGCCTCGTATCACAGCACACAACTGTCATCTTCTGATTTCATTTCAGCAACCTTAAGTGCACAGGGAATATATTATCTTTAGGTTCAGATTAAAAGTGCTCTCAACCCTGCCTTGATCATCTGTCTGACAGTATCATGAACTTTTGGTTAGTGATTTGGCATAAATATTAAGACTGGTGAATCAGCTGGAGCGACAGCAGGGGAGTGCTTCCCACGTTTGTGTAAGACCTGGCAGAAGGCAAACTAATTATCCTCTACTTTAGAGCAAATGAGGAATTCTGAGGACAGCTATTTTAATGGCAAGTATGTGCTTGAAAATTTCTTGTTTCTCCTAAAAAATAACAGGTTTTGAGCTCCCCAGCACTTCTTGTGTTTCTTTGCTTGAAAGTGCTGAGTGCTACTGTGTATCCTCTTGTGAAAACTGCCAAGAAAAAAATATAATTTTTAAAATCACCTGATCCTTTTCTTTCCGTTCCAATTAAATAATGTTACAACATAATAAATTATGTGTTCTTCAAGGCAAAGATTTTCTTTCAATAGTGCATCGGGCCCCAGATCTCATCTTGGTTTAAATTATTATAAGACTTGGGAAGGTGCTAAAGGATATGCTTGCGCTTCATTGACCTGAATGCTGTGGTCAGTAGTGACTATCTCAATTTCAAGCAGTAAATGGCATCTCTTGAACTTTAGAACTGTGCACGTTCTTTTCCTCTTTGTGCATGTCACATTTCTTATTGCTTAAAATTGTATCTAGAGCTTTTTATATACAGAAAATTCAGGGACAAGTTAAAATCCTGATTTCTGAGAACAGGTGACTAGGAGAGCCGTGTAAGTTCTAAGAGGCATTATCTATTGATCTCCAGCATCAGTAAAACTGTCAGTATGTTCTGTAAAGTCTAATGTCCCTCAAGTGCACCTCTTGATCTTCAGGGCAGCAGTCCTGTAGAGGACTTGGAGGAATTGTTAGCTTATCGTAGTGCCACATCTGTGATTGCCTCACTGTGAACATTTTCGAGAGTCATGAAAGTGTCACTTGAGAAACAAGAATCTGGAAAATTTATTAGCATCTAGTAGTGTATGTACTGTATTTTTTAGATTATTTGCAGACAACTGACTTCTAAGAAAATACTTAGTTTTGAGGTGATTTGGACAGGATGGTGGGTTGCAGAGTGAACAGTGAAGCATAGAGTTCATGCCTTTCTTGTTAACTGGGTATGTATTTTCGATTTTAGGTTGGAGGCAGTAAGCACACAATGAATGAGCACCTCCATGTTGGTACCCATGGACAAATCCAGGTCCAGCAGCTGTTTGAAGATAATAGTAACAAGAGGACGGTTCTGACGACACAGCCAAACGGACTGACAGCACTGGGCAAGTCTGGATTGCCAGTGGTGCAGGACAGGCAGCCAGAGAGTGCTCACAGACGACAAGGGAGCTCCAGCTCTTTAAAAGCTACAGATGCAGCAGGGAAGGTGAAAGCCTCCGTTATGACACCAGAGCAGGCAATGAAGCAATACATGCAAAAATTAACAGCTTTTGAGCATCATGAGATTTTTAGCTACCCTGAAATATACTTTTTGGGTCCAAATGCAAAGAAGCGGCCAGGTGTGATTGGTGGTTCAAACAACTGCGGGTATGATGATGACCAAGGGTCTTATATACAAGTACCCCATGATCATATTGCATACAGGTATGAAGTCCTGAAAGTCATAGGGAAGGGAAGCTTTGGGCAGGTAGTGAAGGCCTACGATCACAAGATGCATCAGCATGTGGCACTAAAAATGGTGAGAAATGAAAAGCGTTTCCACCGCCAAGCTGCGGAAGAAATTAAGATCCTGGAGCACCTCCGGAAACAAGATAAGGACAACAACATGAATGTTATCCACATGTTGGAAAATTTCACATTCCGCAGCCATATCTGCATGACGTTTGAATTGCTGAGCATGAACCTGTATGAACTGATAAAGAAAAACAAATTTCAGGGCTTCAGCCTGCCTTTGGTCCGCAAGTTTGCCCACTCAATTTTGCAGTGCTTGGATGCTTTGCACAAAAACAGAATCATCCACTGTGACCTTAAACCTGAGAACATTCTGTTGAAGCAACAGGGTAGAAGTGGTATTAAAGTGATTGATTTTGGCTCCAGCTGTTACGAGCACCAGCGTGTCTACACTTACATTCAGTCACGTTTTTACCGTGCACCTGAAGTCATCCTTGGTGCTCGTTATGGGATGCCCATAGATATGTGGAGCTTGGGCTGTATTCTAGCAGAGCTTCTCACCGGTTATCCCCTTCTACCTGGAGAAGATGAAGGAGACCAGCTGGCTTGTATGATTGAGCTGTTGGGCATGCCTTCTCCAAAACTCTTAGATTCATCCAAGCGCGCTAAGAACTTTGTGAGCTCTAAGGGTTATCCCCGCTACTGCAGCATCACAACCTTGTCCGACGGCTCCGTAATCCTTAACGGTGGGCGCTCTCGGCGGGGGAAGCTACGCGGCCCGCCAGAGAGCAGAGAATGGGGTAACGCGTTAAAGGGGTGTGATGACCCTCTGTTCCTTGACTTCTTGAAACAGTGTTTAGAGTGGGATCCCGCTGTCCGCATGACACCCAGCCAGGCTTTGCGGCATCCCTGGCTAAGGAGACGGTTGCCAAAGCCTCCGACTGGGGAAAAGGCCTCGGCGAAGAGAATGACAGAGAGCACTGGTGCTATAACGTCGATTTCCAAGTTACCTCCGACTTCAAGCTCAGCTTCAAAACTGAGGACTAATTTGGCACAGATGACAGATGCCAATGGGAATATTCAGCAAAGAACAGTGTTGCCAAAACTCGTTAGCTGAGTTTGAAAAACCCAATGCTGTTAACAGAGAGATACGATGTGGCTGAGCCTTATTTGTTTGAAAAAGTAGCTCAGATAATACATTTTTATTTGCTCAAAACTTTATTCATTTGTATCTTTCAGCACTCATTTTAAATGTAAGAAATGTTGATTTTGTTTTTATAAAAACATGGGGACAATGCTTTAAGTTTTTATACTTATTTTTTAAAATGTTTGTCTTCTACAGTACAATTAGCCTTACTGTAACTAGTGTGACACAGTAATAAACTTCAGTGGCAGGCCACTGGTTACAACGTGACTGTCATGCGTTGCAGCGTGGTGTCAAAGGTATCGACCTTTCTCTTCCATGGCTCATATTAGGTTTCACCTGCGGTAAAGTTCTAAGACTGCCTTTTGGATTTTATGGGTATGGGTCTTAATTCTGCAAACACTCACACCTAGGCCAGACTGGACTTGAGGGAGCATACTCAAAGACAGTTAAGCACCTGAAAACTTGGAATTTGAAGTGGAGCCGTAGAATGCTACGTTGTCATTTTCTGTGTGGTGGTGGCCCAGAGAAAGTAGTGGTATCGCTAATGACACAGGCACCTCCTATGGAATGCTTTATATATTCAAAAGCAATGTTGTTTTGATTAAAATGAGCATTTAAATGTAATGCAAAAAATAAGAACTTCCAGGGCTAAAATAACTCTTACCGTGCATGCTGTGTGGTAGAATGACAGGAATGGGCAGTCTGAGAAGGAATGAAGATGGAAGCATGTCTTTTCCTCTAAATCTAAAAGTGACTGATAAGCTGGTAAAGCAAGATGTTCTGGGCTTCATTTCAACTGTATGACATTGAGCATTCATGCTGGGCTTCTTTTTTTTTTTTTTTTTTTTTTTTTTTTTAAATTCCCTCTTCCCCCCCCACGGTTTCTTTTCTCTCCTGATGTGCAACTTAGTCTCCCTAAGTGACATAGACAGATGTGCGCATTCTGCCAGTGTTACACTGTAACTTCCAGACTGTTATGCTACCTGGATTTCACAGATTGCTTTTATTTCTTCTGACAATGTTCTTCTGAGCGACTGTGACCTCTGATACATTTACACTTCAGATCAAATCTGCATGTTGGGGCAAACGCTATGTTACTACGTTGCTTTCTGCAGAAAAGTACTTAAAGTACTTCAATTTAGACAGCATAACTAGATTAAAAGATCCTCAGTGGAAAGCTTTTAAGTTGGCAGACACCATCCTAGATACCTTCTAATAAGGGAAAACTACCAAAGGAAAGTGAAATGGTTGGAATTTGATTTAATCTTTACTATTTGTAGCTGAAAATGAACTTTGAAGGAACAGTTAGAGATATGTGTAGATTTGTTCACGTGTGTGTGTGCTAATGCTTGGTTATTCTGTTTTTTTTTTTAACTGCATTCATGGGAGAAAAATGGTCTTTACTACACCTAAAAGTGATATCACTATTTAAAGTGATATCTACACCTGTGAGAGAAATATTCACACATTGTAGCATGTTTTCAACAGGAAAATTTTGGAAGCTAAGATCAGTATTTCATCACATACAGTGGCTGTGGTCTACATTGGATGTATAAAACATGAAAAGGGAATTTTAAACTAGAACAGAGTTCAGAAGGGTTTATGGATGTAAGAACAAGACATATTAGAACAGATTGCATTAAAGCTCAGTAACTTTACTATAAGCAACATTTATATGCCCAGTTTTTCTGAGTTACTTGTACAAGTTATGAAAAATACTTAAAGCATGGTCCCCTGAGAGGCCAAGAAAGTTTCCGGTTAAGTTCTCCTTCATATTCATTACTTTACCACTTACAGCTTAATTTTTTAGTTTGGTTGGTTAGTTCATATATTTGTAATTTAATGTGAGACTGGGGGAGGGATATAAATGCAAAATGACTGAATTCTCAGGAAACATATCACTTCTTGCCAAAAAGTCAACACTGAAAGAAGCTCCAAAAATAATTTCTGAGTAGAGAATGGTATTTGTTGATTGATAACTGTAAAGAGTTAGAGCATCAATCAACCATTTTTCTTACTTTTTTTAAAAAAGATCGTTTCCTGCCTCTAGTCAAATTATTTAGTGTTAAATGTTCACAATTTTATGTGTGTAAGTGCAATATGTAAACATGTATGAAATCATGTTAAAAATGAAATATAGTAATACAGCTAAGAAAAGTGGGTTTTGGAACATGACTGTCCAGTAAGTTATGGTCAGTAAATTCTAAGTCTGGAAAAGAGATGCATTAATTTTCATATAAAATTTACGAGTCTCGTGACTGTGGGAACACAGTATTGTGTATTTCTCTACAGTAGCTGGGAATCTTTACTTCTTCCACCACCTGCTTGGCTTTACCACTCCTTTCTACTTAACTCTTCCTGCAAAAGTGAAGAAATAGGGATGCTTATGTTAGGGGCGGAAAAAGAATCGCCTCCCTTAGTAACATGCTAAAGGGAATATTGATACACGTTCCTGCCTTTTGTGGCAATTTAAGGTGAAAACATTCATAATGTTCATGGGTCATTAATGGGCTAAAACCACTAAATTTTCTTTGTCATGTAACCAGTTCTTAATGCCAATAATGCATTTATGATCCACCTTCTTCATAAATGCTACCGGAAACTTTAAGGCCAAAATATAGTGTGCAGAGCTATTTTTTTAAGCCAGATACAGTGGAACTTCCTCTATACTAAAGGAGCAGCTACATCAAGGTTTTTAAATGATGTAGCTGCTTTTTATTGTAGCTTATTTATACCTGTAAAAAAGGAGGGAGGGGGGAAAGGACGTTGCCTCTTGCTTTGATGTGATTTTATTCTAAGGGCTCTGATAATTAGGCTAATAGAAGTTGGCTTGGAAACAGTGCTTAGTCTCACGTGTTACCATTGTCTGGGGATGTCTGAGCTATTTTCAGATTTAGTAATAGCACAGTGTTGTCTTGTCTTTGGTTGCAGTCTCACTTGGCTCAATTTCTTGCACCACTGGAGTGTTCATTACCACTTAAGTGTATTGGAACAACAGAGTGATGCAAGATGTGTAGATTAACAATAGAGGATGGATTGTGCCCTTGGTGTTAACAATGTGCCTTTTGTTACAAATGGGTGTTGTAGGGCATGCATCTTGGCCTCTTTAACCCTTTGAATACTGGATAGTAGGGATGAAATCTATTTTTCAATGCTATACCTGTCTTAAAACATCCTGTAGATGATCGGAGCCTTAATGAAAACAATAAGGCAATCACACGGCTAGGGTGGAGAGCACACTGTTCTTGTAGCACGTCTCATTAAGGGGTTAAAGATGGCCCTTCTTCATTGGTTGTACTTCAACATCAAATTGATTTCTTTTTTCCTAAATAAATTTTTGTTATGGTGACACTCAACAGAAATCAACTGTATTTGTAAAAATTTACCTCAAACTCTTTAGTTTTATAGTGTGATTTAATCCCAGGGCATTTGGTATGAACCAAAGTGCATTCCTTTTATATGTGCCTGGCTCTTATAAAGGTGGCCAGGGATTTTTACAATTTGGGTGCAAGGCACTTAAGCCACTTTTAACTTGGTGAGTGGTTTGGAGTTATAAATGACTTCATGGGAATGGTGAAAACAGTTTAGACATAAGTAGCATCGGGCAATATTAGAATCTTTAAGAAAGGATGTGCATTATTTAATGCTCTCCATTTTTTAGTATTTTTTTTCCATCTATAACATTTGTGATAAGTACAAAAAGAACTCTCCTTTTTCAAGTCAGCAAAGATTAGAATATTGCCCAGTTTAATGCTATGGTAGCATTTAAATAAAACATTTGTGAATTATTGTTTCTGGGGGCTTGTACATCTCTGCTACAAATTGTAATTACTCGGTTCGACAGCTACAATTACGTCTAAGCAGTAGCTTGGGTTTTTATTGGGCAACAACTTAGACACGTGACTGTAATATGCTGCAACTGTGTGTACTGAAAACGTGAAAAACGATTGAATGTGGACTGTGTATATATGTATGTATAATTTTCCGTGAGATGCTGCTGTTGCCACTTAACATTGAAGATGTTGTAGTGGGTTTTAATCCTAGTGGCCAGTTCTATGATACTGTATGTATTGTACAGCTGATGACAGGAGTTAAGACTGTTCTAGTGAATATTTGTTACATTTTATTGTTGTGGCCAGAGATCATTTCAGAATAAAATTTTATGTCCTACTTTACTTCTGTCCACTGTAGTTTTGGTTTGGGTTTTTTTTTTTTTTTTTTTTTTTTTTTTTTTTTTTTTTTTCCTTTTTCCCAGTCATAAAGAGAGAGCCCTTGGAGTGCTGGCATTTCTTAAACTGAAAGCCTTCTGTTTAAGGCTGCCTTCTAGGACTTCTGGCTTGCTGAGGTCAATGCCAGCAGTGCCTTTGTCCCCCAGCATGTTCACTGGTATCCATATTTAGTAATTACCGATTGCTGGAGGGTGACTTTTCTGCTGCTGTATGTGTCCTGACAGCCTCAGATATTGCCCAAAGGCTGGCTTTGCCCTGAGGTTTCTAAAGTTCTTCTCAGGACATAGAAAATAATATGTTCCGTGGTTTTGTTTGTCCCGTACTCCAGAGAAAACGTCTTCGGCAGGAGTTTGCCTGCATGAGTTTGTTAAAAATATTTTGGCTGCGTTTTGAAGATTTTTGAAAAGAACAATAGATCTTATTTTGTAAGAAATACTCCATTAAGAAAGGTGCAGTGTGTGTTCTTTTCCTTAAAACTGCCTTTAAAAAGCCCAGATTTCTGCACTGAATTTTGAGTCAGACGAACTTCTCAGAATTTGTCAGACTTTGTAAAGTCCCAGGATAATGAGAACATGCTACACAAAGCTGGTAGGCTTGATGAGCTAAATTCTGTTCACATATACATCTGGAGTAGTTTCACTGTAGCCCAGAACTATAAGAGTAATTTGCCACATTGTCTTCTTAGCAATGTCAATGTACACCCAGAGCAGTATCACTGAAAAGCTCTCAAGTGAGTCCAGCTTGAAATCAAGGGATTTTAACTACAGTTTATTGTCTCCTTTTCAGCATAGTTGGGAGATTCCAGAGGGCAAACCCATCAAGGTTCAGTATAGATAAACACAGCTTACAACCCCAGAGAGCAGCAAACCAAAACTTACTTCTTTGTGAATTAAATCCTGTTTGTTAATTACTGTGTTCTTCTGAGGACAAAAGTATTTATTTATTTATTTATTTATTTTTAGTTATTGTAGCTTTTTTTATGTTTTTTCCTTCTGTTCTGTCTCCTTCCCTCTCCTCCAGCCATCTATCCCTCTTGCCAACTCTTGTATGCTTCTGTCACATCTGTTTTTTCACTTGAAGAAGGGTAGGGGCTGTCTCGCCTCATTTCATTTGCCTGGAAGTTGAGGGTTGGCCTGTGCCATGTGCTGAGACCCCCAGTAGCTGGTGCGGAAACTGCATCACTCTCTGCCAGCACTGCTCCCTCCCTGGTCTCTTGACAGAGCTCAGATCCCTGCCTAAAATGAGGCCCTTGGAATCCCACCCTGAATGGCAGTCTGGTTGCTGTTATCTCCACAGTACTTCCTTTCTCAAAGAAATTGTGGCTTCCTTTGGATGTCAGCTGTGCATCTCTTGTTTTCTGTGTTTTGGTTTTTGGGTATCTTTTACAGCAAGACAAGTAAAGAA